GATCGTTTGAGCTCAGGAGTTCGAGACCAGCCTGAGCAAGAGCGAGACCCCGTCTCTATCAAATATAGAAAGAAATTAATTGGACAGCTAAAAATATATAGAAAAAAAATTAGCCGGGCATGGTGATGCATGCCTGTAGTCCCAACTACTTGGGAGGCTGAGGCAGTAGGACTGCTTGAGTCCAGGAGTCTGAGGTTGCTGTGAGCTAGGCTAACGCCACGGCACTCGCTCTAGCCTGGGCAACAAAGCGAGACTCTGTCTCAAAAAAAATAAAATAAAATAAAATAAAAAAATTAGCCAGGCATGGTGGTGCACACCTACTTGGGAGGCTGAGCCTAGTGACAGAGCAAGATCCTATCTCCAAAAAAAAAAAAAAAAAAAACCAAAAAGAAAAACCAAAAGGGATTGAAGCACTGATATATGCTACAGTACGAGACTCGGAAACATTATGTTAAATGAAAGAAGCCAGTCACAAAAGATAACATTATAGGATTCCATTTATATGAAATGTCCAGAAACAGGTAAATCTATAGAGGAAGAAAGTTGAGGCGGTGGTGGAGAATAGGCAGTGATTGCTTAACAGGTATGGGACTTCTTTTTGGGGTCCTGAAAATGTTCTAAAATTGATTGTGGTGATGGCTGCACAACTGTGAATACACTAAAATACCACTGTACACTTTAAATGAGTGAATTGTATGGTATGTGAATTGTATTTCACTAAAGCTTTTATATAATTATAATCTTAAGAAAATGTCTTTCAATAACAAGAAAAATGTCCTGTTTAAAGCGCAAATTATATCTATGTATTATAATGTTTAAAACAGAATTAAAATATATAACATAGAACAAGCAATAGTGCAAAGTATACTGTTACAAGGTTCTTTTTTTTTTTTTTGGAAGAGATGGGGTCTCACTATGTTGCCCAGGCTGGAATGCAGTAGTTGCTATTCACAGGTGTCATCATGGCACAGTGCAGCCTTGAACTCCTGGCCTAAAACAATCCTCATGACTCAGTCTCCCAAGAAGCTAGTGTACAGGCTTGCGCCATAGCAGCCAGCACAAGGTTCTTGTATTGCACATTATGACGGTATATTATTTGAGGGTAAACTATAATTAAAGATATGTATTGCAAACTCAAGCACCACTAAAAAATCCTAAGAGACGGATATAACTAATAACCTGATATTACAAGTAAAATAGAATTAAAAATATTCAGTCAATCCAAAAGAAAGTAGAAAAAGAGAAGGGAATAATGATCACATGGGATAAATAGGAAATAAAAATATGATGGCAGATTTTTACAAATTACACTGATACCATTAAAAGCCAATGATCTAAACACTCCAATGAAAAATAAGTAGATTGCCAGACCCAATGATATGTTGAAATCCACTTTAGAAATATAAATAAATTAAAAGCAAAAGTACAGAAAAAGATATACCACAAACACGACTCAAGGGAAAACATCATTGGCTATATTAATATTAGGCAGAGTTGACTCCCGAACAAATACTACCAAACATAAAGAAAATACTTCATAATGAAGGTCAACTCATGAGGAAGAACCTCAAAACACATTAAGTAAAATCTAACAGAAGTGAAAGGAGAAACAGAGACAAATCTACAATCATGATTGCAGATTTCAACAGTACTCTTTAAAAAAACAAAAGTAAACACAAAAATTAGTTAGGACATATAAGACTTGACCAACACTCTCAAAGAATTTGACCTAACTGACATTTATAGAATTTTTCACACAACAGTATAATAAACATTCTGTTCAAGGTCCCATCAAACATTCTTCAAAGTAAACCATATTTTGGGCTATAAAAAAATGTTGATAAACTTAAAACCGAAATCAAACTTTTTTCCCAACTGCAACAGAATGAAACCAGAAATGAAGAACAAAGATTTGGAAAATTACCAAACATTTAGAAATCTAATAAGCAATGAGTTAAATAGGCTTCTATTTTGAGAAACAAAAGGAGAAAGAAATAAAAAGTAAAATTCAATGAATTTAAAAATGGACCAAAAAAGGAAAATCAACAAAAGCAAAAGCTGGTTCTTTGAAATGATCAATAAAATTGATAAACCTCTAACAACAGTAACAAAAAAGACATAATTTAGTAGTATCAGGAAAGAAAGATATCACTACAGATGCTACAAGGCATTAAAAGGATACTGAGGAATTTTAATAAACAACCTTATGCCAACTTACATGAAATGGACAAATTTCTCAAAAGACACAAACAAACAACTCTTACTCAAGAAGAAATAAAAAATCTGAGTAGCCTATATCTATTAAAGGAATTAAATTCACAGCTAAAAATGTCCTCACAAAATTCGAGGTCCAAATAGTTTCAGTGGTGACTTCTACCAAAACTTAAGAATGAACTATTACTATCCTACACAAATGGTCCCAGAAAATAATCTCTATCTATGATGCCATTTTTACTTCAATGCCAAACAAAGACACTGCAAGAAACTACAAACCAATATCCTTCAGGATGCAGAAATCCTTAATATTTTAGAAAACTGAAATTAGCAATATATAATAAGGATAAAACATTATGACCAAGCAGTGTTTATTCCAAGGATACAAGGTTTAACATGTGAGAGTCAATTAATATAATTCATCATATTAACAGTAAAAAAAAAAAAAAAAAAAAAGAACTATATGAACATCTCAACAGAGGCAGAAAAACCACATAACAAAAATCAAAACCTATTTTGTATAAAAACTCTCAAACTAGGAATATTAGAATACTTTCTCAATCTGTTAAAGAGCATCTACAAAAATCTAACAACTAACATTATACTTAATAATGAAATATTAGATGCTTTTTGGGGTGACGAAAATATTCTGTGTCTTGTGATGGTGGACACATGACTATAGAAGGTATTAAAATTCATAATGGACAATTAAAATTGGTAAATTTTATTGTATGTAAATTATATCAATAAAGCTGATATTTAAAACTAGCATATTTTCTTCGTGGTTGTTCAAAAAATCTAGTCTTTTATTTTCTTTTTCATTTTTTTGAGACAGCGTCTCTCTCTGTTGCCCTGGCTAGAGTGCAGTGGTGTTGTCATAGCTCACTGCAACCTCAAACTCCTGGGCCCAAGTGATCCTCCTGGCTCAGCCTCCCAAGTAACTGGGACTACAGGCATGTGTCACCATGCCCGGCTAATTTTTCTATTTTTTGTAGAGATGGGGTCTCACTCTTGCTCAGGCTGGTCTTGAACTCCTGACCTCAAGCAACCCCCCACCTCAGCCTCCCAAAGTTCTAGGATTACAGGTGTGAGCCACTGTACCAGGTCTTTTACACAAGAGGGCTAATTACAATAACACAAAAGTACTGATCATTTATACCAATGTATCTAAGGATCTATAAACAAAATACAATTTTAAATAACAACTACTGCAATGCATTTATATTAGTACAAGGTGAACTTTAAATATAGCATGGCTGTGCTACAGTCCATACTGAGGATTGTAAATTGAACTCTTAAGCAATTGGGAATTTCTGCTAAAACTTACTAGTTTTAAAATCTGTAATAAACTTAAGCAATATACTATAATGATGGCAACAAAAGAACTAGCTTTAATGTTTTATTCTACTATGTAGTCTATTGGTACCTTTCTACCAAAGCACTTAAATATATAAATTACCTGGGAGTTGACCTAAATTAATTCAACGTTGTGTTAAGAACTGGACTAGAACTGCATTTTATCTTATACTTGGAATTCATTCATTTTCCTCAAATCAAATCACTTTACTATGAAAATATTCACAAAATGAAAAATTTTTAATTTTTAATAATAATAAATGTACAAAATGCTAACCTATCATTATTTCAGTATGACTTTTCAATCACTAAAGGAAAATATTTTCTAATTGCTGAGTCATATCCATAAGGCCTAATTATATTACCAGAGAAAATGAGAACTCTTTAAATCCAAAGCAAGAAGCTAATATTACAAGAACCTTGACATTTCTATGTTAAAGATGAACAAAAATATAGACAAAAAGTTTGCCTAGTAACACTTCTCAAGTACTAGTTGAAGGAAAAAATAAATGATTAGAGATATATAAATGTAGGCTCTATAAATTAATACTTATTAACTGAAGGGGGAAGATATATGCTATATATGTAATACTTGTGAATAATGGAATTTCCCCACATTCCACTTCCTTATTAAAAATGAGAGTCAGCACTCCTCACCAAATAGACAACCCAATATATACAGAACTTAGCTGATAATCAAACTGAATGATAAAATGTACATCTGGGTAAAAATCAGCAGGATATTTTAGATATAACATGGGTATCCTACAACTCAATCTTCTGCCTCTATTACCCACCTCTGATATACCCACCACTCATTTTTTTTAGTTTTAACAGTTTACATTAGGCAAAATAAACATAAGAGCAGGCTTGTTTTTAAAAGAGCGAGATATCTACACACTCCTTAAAAATACAACTCGAACCATATATATCAAATCAAGTTGGAACTGCTGAATAAATATTAATAGCACAAATAGAATGAGCTGCCTTTCATACATCTACAACTATTGTTAAAAGTTTTAAAAAGAAAATCCATGTGTAAAATGGGTCATAACAAATAAACAGTATTATACCTAAAAATATTGAAAACTTTCAAATTACTGATTCAAACCATGACTATCTCTTGATTAAATGGCAAAATAATCAAGGTATTCTAAATTCCAGAATAAGATAAGGGTAACATTTTAGCATTCAACTTAGCCATTTATTAGGTTCAAGAGAAGTCCAACAAAAGCACTACTGGTCAACAACAAAACTTCTTTCAAATATGAGATGATGAGTGAATACTCAAGATAATCAATCCTAATAATTTAAAACTATACAGGTCTTTCAAAATTTAGCTTTAACAAATCAAAAACATTTGACGAACTGTTGGTGTAGCAAAAGTGAAATTTTAAATCAAATCTCTTGCAATGATACTTCTATCTTACCCGTATCTTCAATAAATTCCACACATTTTTCAACAAATAGTGGTATGGGTTTCTCAGCTGTAACCAGATCCTGGAGGGGCATCCCAAAGTAATTACTTTCCCAATTTCTACGTGTTGGTGGATTGAAGTTCTTAGTTTTCTTTTTCTGCTATAAGAAAACATATTCAAGTTAAAACTATTAATTTCTTTCAGAGTATTAGTATTAAGCAAAATAAATACACAATTTGGATCAAAAGAAGTATTTAAAAGCCACATACAACCTAAATGTTGATCAACATGGCACTCATTAAATAAATTTTGCCAGAAAGCAGCAACTTGAGCAATGGAGAGAGACAAAAGTGAACAGGAAAAAAATGGCTGACTAGAAGAAAATATTCTCCTTTGAAAAATAACAGAAGACTGGATAGGTAGAAAAGATAGTTTAGAAAAGATCATTTTTCAATGCCAACACAAGGGCAAAACTAGGAGTAAACAATGCCTGGTTCAGTTTGGGTGTGGTATGTCAATTTTATTTGGTCTTTGAGGCAGGTCCAAGTGAAGTTTTTATGTCCACCTGTATCTGTAAGAACACAATGGTTTTAATTATTGATTATATAATGAGGCTATGTAACTTCATGAACTTTTAGTCCCATCATTTGTCCCTTCTTCCTGTCTACTGACACTTACTTTAATACTAAGATAATTTTCAGAAGTAATGTACAGAACATTTTCCCAATAGTTAAAAATGAAATTAAATAAGAAATTTCAGAGATTAACTTCAATCTAGCATTAGAAAGAAAATGATTCTTAACCAAGGAGTGAATATCTCAAAAACCAAAGGAAGTACTCTCTGGAATCAAACTGAGGAGATTCTAATTCAGTCTTTCTGGAGTAGGGTATGGCAAGCATCCCTACAGATGATTCTATTGTACAAACTCCACTGATAATCTCTGAAGTATAGGAAGAAAAGAAAGTTTTCAGAAATTCAAAAAGGATCTAAGAGCAGTTTTATATAGACAGCCCTGGTTCCTTTTTCAGTCTAATTTTATCTACAAGTTTTTGTTTTCTTTGGTATAAATCACAAATCTATTTATATTTGTCTTAATTATCATTACTGGCTTACAAATAGGATAAAAACATTATCATTTCTAATCAGAAAGGTGTGGATGGAGAGGTATAGGAGGGAGCACAGGTATGGTTTTCAATGCCTGAAACAACAGTCCTCATCTTAGTTTCCCATTTTTCCTGGAAGAGTCTTTCCTTTGATGAATCTCTCATTGCATTCTTCCAAGTCTCTGGATACCTTGAATACTTAATTAAATCCTTTCAATTTCAGGTCACCCAAACCAGCAAACTTTCATTAAATCCAAATCTTCATATATTATTACTCTACAATGATACAGATTACATGCAACTCTGGTATATACAGACTACACACAACATAATCAAGTGTGTCTAGTCAACAGGGCATCGCAGTGTGTTTTTGACCTGGTTCGAGATCTAACACAAAAAACCAAGTGGCATGAATCCTTACTTGTTAAATGATCCTTCCACTGCCACCACCACCAAAACAGAAGGATGTGCAAGGAAGGAAAAATGGAGAGTCTATAACCGCAAAGCTGAAGTGGGGTACAGTGGCTGGGTCTTCTTTCTCGGGAGCAATAAGGTGCTCTGCAGCCTGCCCACTACTAGCTACATTATCCTTTGATTAGAAAAGTGAAAACTGAAGCAAAGATGTTTTTTGTTTGGAGAGATAACAGGGGTGAAATAGATTACACTTAGGTAGATTAATGAAAATAACAATGCCTAGACAACAGCGAGAGCAACAGGAATGAAGAGATAAAGAGATTTGATAGTCTGCAAAGCCACCTGAGTAACACAAAAGTTGTAAGACAAGCTAAGTAGGTAGTCCTAATTGCTCCAATCAGCCCTTAAGAAATCCTCTTTTTAATATTGGTCATTAGGAGCCCATCTAAACTCTCAGGTAACTATGAAATCATTCCATCCCTACTCTTGGGGTCATGGGAAAGAGGAAAAAGTGAAGTCTAAACTTTATCCAGGCAGCCCTGAATACTTAAATTGGGGAGCTGAGACAGGAAAGCAAACTAAGGTAGATTCTCTGGCTTACGCTCAGTAAATATATACCATGTATGGTCCATAAAGTTATAAGGGCAAGTTATTTAATTTCTGCAGTTACATCAATATTCAGAGCTAGTAATCTAAGGTAATGAAAGGTTAAGTAGCTTATAGTAAGGAATTTCTGGCCAACTCTAAAGGGATACTTTATTAACACAGAACTGCTCTGACAGTCAAGTTTTAATCCATATATATTGGGGGGATGCCTATGTGACTTTACTAATTTTTCTATTATACTACTAATAACTAATAATACTGCTACGAAAGAAAATTCTATGTAGAAAAATAAACAGGTGTGAATTAGACACTCCTATATCAGCTTTTGTGATGAACAAAAATGTATACATACACAATTCCTTTTCTCTGTGATAGTATTTAACCATTATAATCAATTCAAGGAATTCTTTTAAAACATGTGACTTCTGAAAAACTCTCCACGTAATTCTGATATGCACCCCTTGGTTAAGAGTTGCTGATCTATAGCTACAAACTTACACCAACTCAAAATGATTTATATAATTTAAAACCTAGTTAATAAATTAAACTAAGCCGAGATTACAACTACTATAAAATGCCATCAGATTTCTCCAAAATGCAAGAGAAAAATGAGTAGTATGGTATTTTGTTATTTTTATCTAGTTTTAACGAACCTTTAGTCAGAAATGGCACCTCCAAATAATTGTGCCTGTGGCAAACAAATTCTGATCTATGATAATTCAATTTTTGATTCATTACTACATTCATATCTTGATTTCTGCTTAAATGCAAATGCCCACAGCCTTTTTTCTAGCCACTTAACCAAATTTCATGTCTGCAAAAAGCATACCACAGTAGCATGAACATTCTGTTCACAATAAATGTAAACAATGTTATCAATTAAGTGTCCAGCAGACATTAAAAGGTCTTATTTGTATAAGTAAACAGGACCAGGAAGAGAAAAAAATAGCTCTTTCCAGAAACTGTTCCTCCTGTTTCAGTATAATCAGCAATACAGTAAGGAGTCTTCTAAGCAATATCCTCAAATAAATACTATAATCGATAACATTAAAAAAACACACAATACCTCAACTGCTTCACTGGTAACCAACAAACAAACAAAACTTAAGTGTCAAAAAGCAGTTGAGGCCGGGTGCAGTGGCTCACGCCTGTAATCCTAGCATTCTGGGAGGCCGAGGCGGGTGGATCGCTCAAGGTCAGGAGTTCGAGACCAGCCTGAGCAAGAGCGAGATCCCCGTGTCTCTACTAAAAATAGAAAGAAATTATTTGGACAACTAAAAATGTACATAGAAAAAATTAGCCGGGCATGGTGGCACATGTCTGTAGTCCCCAGCTACTCGGGAGGCTGAGGCAGTAGGATTGCTTGAGCCCAGGAGTTTGAGGTTGCTGTGAGCTAGGATGACGCCACGGCACTCTACTCCGGGCAACAGAGTGAGACTCTGTCTCAAATTAAAAAAAAAAAAAAAGCGGTTGACTAAGCTTTCAAACAACCAATCCAGCAAACAAGAAAATCTGGACCTCTTTTCTTTTAGATGTGATTCTTGAAGTTAAAAAAAATCAAACAAATGAGACAACAGAAGATAAAGTGTAAAGAAACAGAAGGAAAAATGCCACCACAGAAACAAAAAGCTCTTGAGAAGCAGCAAGTAAAAGACTTAATATGATTGAAAAGATCAGAATAAAATGGAAAAGACCATCAGAGTTCCCCCTTTCTACTATGTTATTATTATACACACCAAAAAACGCTGGGTTTCACTTCTATCTATCTAATCTATTTAGAGACAAGGTCTTGCTCTGTTGCCCAGGCTGGAGTGGCCTGACCATAGCTCACTATAATACTAAACTCCTAGGCTTAAGCACTCCTCATACCTTAATCTCCCCAGTAGCTAGGACCACAGGTATGTGCCACCAAACCCAGCTAAGTTTTTGGTGTTTTTTTTTTTCCCCTCAGAAATGGGGTCTTGCTATGTTGCTTACGCTGGTCTTGAACTCCTAGCCTGAAGAGATCCTCCCTCCTACCTCAGCCTCCCAAAGCGCTGGGATTCCAGGAGAAAAGCACCACACAGGCCCTTGCTCCCATTTAAAAAAGAAGTCTCAATCTTACTCTCCTTGGCAGTTACTGCTCCAAGATGCTACTCCCTTTTGCAGACAAACTATGTGGAAGCCATCTATACTAGCTGTTGCCAATTTCTCTCCTTCCATTCACTCTTAAGTGCATTCAAATTAGTCTATCACCCTCATCACTCCACTAAATCTGCTCTTACTGCCATCACCAATGATTGTTTTCCAATGGCTAGTTCTCATCTTAGTTTTTCAGTAGTCACTTTCTTCACTGGACTTCTACCAAACCAACCCTATTACCTTACTCACTCTCCCATTCTTAGTCTCCTTTGCTGGTCCCTCCTCACCAACACTGTAATATTGTGAATACCCCACACAATTCAGTCCCCGATTGTCCCCTTTTCTCCATCTATGCTCACCCTCTTGGTAATGTTATCCATATGCTGATAACTTAAGTTTATACTTTCTGCTCGGCTCTTTCTCCTACTCTAAATTAATGTATAAAACAACCTACCTTGACATCTTCACCTTCTTCACCTGAAAGTCTAAGCGAGATTTTTTTAACATGCCCAAACTCCAGAAGCTTTTCTTAAAATGTACTCTATCTTCGGCCTTTTCCATCTCAGTTGTCAGCAATTCCATCCTTTCAGTTGTTCAGGATAAAGATCTTGGAGTCATCCTTGATCTCTCTTCTTTTTCTCTCATATCCTACTTTCAATTGTTAAGCAGATGTACAGAATGGAAGCTGTGTCTCACCATCTTGTTAACTCCCTCATCCATAAAGCTATCACCATTTCACAGATCTGGATTACTGCATTGGCTGCTTAATTAATGCCACCTGCTTCTACCACAATTCTCTACAGGCCATTCTCTACAGAGCAGCCAGAATGAAGGTGGCTGCCCAAATAATGGCCTGAAATGCCATATACAATCTGCATGCCTTAGACTTTGTTCCTTAATATTCTGACCTCATTT